TGATTATAACACCAACACAAAAACCTGTCTCTTATACACATCTAGATGTGTATAAGAGACAGGTATAAAAAACAAAAAGATATTCCAAATTCTTGACCAGCTCCAACCGAAGTTATGAAAATATTGTTGGCGTTCAGGAAAATGTTGCTAAAGACTGCATTTTGTCGATTCTAAGCCGTTCTCAAGAATTGGGACACCACAACTTGGCGGATTTTGAGAAAGGATTTGGGCTTGCATCCATAAAAAATTGTTCTCACTCAAGAACTGAAGACATCGGACTACCGTAAACGTCAGGAATTTGTTAAGTACAGAAAGTACAGAAAAACTAATATTTATTTGTAAATTGCTTTGGTGATGCAACAACAATAATTGTGTTCAATCTGTGCATATTTTACTATCTCCTTATAAAACTTAATTAAGTTGCAAAAGTTGCTTTCATTAAACATCAAATGATCAGATATTATGATAAGAGGTGTCGGAAAACGACCTAACTAGCATCAATATACAGTTGCAGGACAGTTCGACAATTTCGCAAAAATTTCGTAATTCCTAGATACTCCACTAATAATTAACGTCTTTTGGCTTAACTGTCCACCTCATAAATTCTAATGACCGCAGATACATAATAGAAATGTAAAAATAACTTTGTAATTTTCTACAATGAAGTGTTTTCTGTTACTACAATATTTTAAAAGTAACAATCAGAGAGACAAACTTGTGTGAAAATAAAAACAGAAGGAGAAATATAACAAACGGACATTCCACACTTTCCGAAATCTAYTATCTTTATCAATTGTCCAGTGAGGACTTAATTACATTTCATTGATTGAAAGTGAAGTAATTGCGTTTTAAGTTTCAGTATGTTTGTGTTATCAGTGCGAAAATGAGCTTCGAACAGAGAGCCAAATTAAATTTTATTTTAAAATTGGTAAAACTTTTACCGAAACATTTCAATTGATGAAACAAGTTTATAGCGATGATTGTCTATTCCGTAGCAGAGTTTTCAACGTTTTCCAAGTGGTCTTGAGCATATGAATGACGATCAATATGTGGGCTAATCAAAATACGTGAACACCGGAAAGTCCATCAAAACTGTTTGTGAATTCACCAAAAATCAGCCGAAGTCATCGCTGAAATTCATGAAAATGGAATTGAATATCGATTTATCACAATTTTGACTGACGACCAAAAATTTCTCAGAATCCACCATTCGATCGTGACCGATTATTTAACTAAAAATCACATTTTAACCAATAACCACTCCCCGTTTTCACCTGATATGGCACCGTGCGACTTCTTCCTTTTCGAAAAAATGCATTTGCCGATGAAAATAAAGCGTTATAGAGGCCGTTTAAAATACTTGCACCGGCATACTGGGGGCCATACCGGTCAACGAGCTAAAACACTCGTTCGACATGCTTTTGGACCGTACAAAAGGCTATATTGAAGTAGAAGAATATTATTTTGAATAAAATAAATTGATTTTTGATTCCTATTTACTTTTGCACTTTTGTTATCTTAATTTATTTAGCTTTTTGCAACACAAAAGCACAAACAGATTTATATTGTGAATACGAAAAGCTTAAAAGAAAAAGTAATGGTAACTTTTTGCCTTTGTCTGTGAATATCACTGGATGTTTTGACATACCTTTTACACAGTGTCCTGTTGATCACAATGACCCAACATTTGTATCATGGCTTCGCAGTTAATTAGTGAACAAATGCCTTATCAACGCAGCTCCAACACTACAACTTTGTGCTAAATCAGCGATCGATTCAATACGCACAGAACTGTAGAAATTTGCCAAACTTTACGTGTAGTACAGCGTGTCCACGGCAATTCTTAGCAGTTTTGAGGGCAAAGAGGACCCTCAGTATAAATGGGTGTTTTCTCAAAATACCACGACCTCTTGGAGACCCCGTACGTCGAAACTACTAAAAGTTTAGTCTGGAGGTGAAGAAAATGAGTGTCAATATTTATACATTTAACTTTAATGTAATAATGCTATGTTTCACGTCCATCGCCAACAACACAGCACAACACAACAATACCAGAAAATCCACAAAAAATTCATCCATTCCCATTATTTAACTATGGCGACTGTTGTCATCTAAAGCATTGTGTTGTAGAAGGATCACTCTTTGGTTATTTTTCAATTCGTAATAAACTCTGTTATAATTCTGCTCTTTTCTTGGTCTCTGTTAACACTTAGTGGATCCATATTTTATCGATGACCACGAAATGATACAGAAACTTTTTCCGATGCCRCGTCGATAGCGTGCCGTTAAAAAAAGCTGCAACACATAGTGTCAAAACATTTTGATTACTTGTAAGTAAATCATATTTCATGTAGTAGGAACCATGCTAGTGGCATAATAATAAAAAAGCACAATAATTTTTTTACTCTTTTAGCTGTTTCTGCATGTTTCGCTCGCACTGATTGGAAAAGTTTTCGATAAAGTAACAAAGSCATATGTATTTTGAGCTTTTTGTAAGCAGATACCTTGCGGTGAATGACCATATGAAAGTACGGACTACTAAACTCTGCGAGTAGTCAATGATTTTACAAATACACTCACACATACATAAAAAGACATATACACATATACAAAGGCTTGTAAATATTTAACTACAGCAAACTCCGGCAATATTCAATCGAAGCGCAAGCGAGTGAAGTTTTGAATAAAACACCGACAATGTTGCACACCACATTTGCTCCCCACCACAGCACTCGTACAAGTGCATTTTTTTATTGCAGACAGTTGCACAGTGATCGAATTGTGTGCAACGCGATATTGCTTGCGAGTTGTTGGCCATGCTTTTGCATTTATGCACACCCTGAACAGGATATACGAGTATGCAGTTTGCCAAGGTGTTTGTCATACCCCAAAAAATGCGATTTAGCCATGAGCGTTTATATATATGCGAATGAGTCCTTCAGTTTCTGAGATTTTGATATGAAATTATGAACACGTTCTTTTCTCAATCGGAGAACCTTAATATATAGCTGGCATATATACTATATTAACCGATCAAACTCTAGTCCTTGGACTTTCTAAAAATAACTTTTTAGGCTGATAAAGATATCGTATACCCTTTTATGATAAGTAAGGCAACTGTGGAGGGTATTATAGCTTCGCTGCAACCGAGGTTACCACTTTTCTTGTTTTATGTGTTGGTGTGTGTGTGTGTATACGTTAGTGCGCTTGTAAGCGCATTGAAACAACAGCTGCTGGTGCCCGGCCGCCGTTGCTGCCATTATTGCTGCTCTTGTTGTTGTGGTTGTTGTTTTTGCAGTTGCTGTCTGTTGCATATAAACTATTCCACTCGCCTTTGTTGCTCAACAGTGCCTTCAAGTGTCCGACGGCTGAGCTATTTGCAGAAACTGCGCAAATTTGCATAGCTGAGTTGCCTGTCGGCAACTGTTGCTTGCTGTTTGTTTTCGATTCCCTTTTACCCTCCTTCTTCTGAGCATTATTGCTACACTTTTATRCATTACGCTGCTCTGGAAGTTATTAATTTCGAGTAGACTGCTCGTGRAATAAACTTGCACACGTATAAGTGCCGGTAAATATACAATTTAAAAAGTCCGGCGCTTTGTGTAGCCACTTCCCAGCTAAATTCTGCAATCTTCTACTGGCGTAAGTAGATGGGCGAGTGTATTTGCTGAGAAAATATGAGAGTGTAAATAACTTAGCAAGAATATGCTTCAAGAAATGCTTAAATTGGAGCAAATGCAAATGCTGTGTAGACTGTCTTAGTGGTGTCTCGGTGGTGCTGAAGTTAGTTAATATTGGGGATTAAAGCACTTCTTTTATGTAKGTACCTGTACTCAAATTCCTTTATTTATTCGGCTACAGTTGGCTGCCGCGGAGAATATCCTAACGAACAATAGCGGCTTTACGTCACTTAGGTCAGTGATRTTTTGACCTTGATCGCATTGTGCCTCAGTGTGGTTTTCACGTTACTGTGATTGCGGGTGGCATCAGCTATAATACTTGATGATGATCTTAACTACATGACCATACTTTTCATACAAGTTTGAGGTAGTTTTATACAATTCCGGGAACAATGAAAGCAATGCCWCTTTCGATCATATGAAAAAATTGTTCAATATACGCGATCGCTGGTGCAAAAACAGAAATATGGTAACGCAAAATCATTTTTCAATCAACCGCCATAAATCAGGTAAATTACCCAGACAAGGTCACAATGTGGSCCACCACAGYGGCYTTAAAAACWGGCTGWTTGTTCTAAGATASCATACCATACTTCATAAGTAGAGGATMAAAAATATCTTMAAATAATATATTCTGAAAACAAAAGCCAGCTTATTTCAGGTAAAAGATCAAYGCTGCTCTAAATGACTWCTRCARRAAAATKTTCTWWATTGTCTGAGCTTTGAACTCTTTTCTTCTCAGCAGCCAAGTACCTTTTAAATAGTATAGTCTCTTTTACACATTGGAATTTCGTCGGTCAACCGTGTAGCTTTGAAAAGTATATATTACTKGATAACCGCTAGGTTACCTTGAACATTTACCACACCCAAAAACTACCGAACATCCACTACTTAGAGATAAGCGYCATTCGTCKACCTGTCCRTTATTCAGAACACTAAAAGTATAGGTGAACTTAGTATACTAATAACTAAGKCGGCGTCGCTGYTTTACCTGAGATATTATCAAACTCTTTTATAGTTATTGTTTGGAAGGTCTGYMTTCTATTGTTYTTAAATTACATTGTCCTTACGTTRCTAGACTTTAGAACGTCGGACTTTTCACTTCGGTTTTATTGTGTCAGCTTAGATCTCTTTTGGTGACCTTGATTTTCTTCCCGCACTTTGGAGTTAACCCAACYCTTTGGAATACAGRAATGCTTTAAGGAATAAAAAGGAAAATTTGTAAAGCAAAAGTCACCAGTCATCTTTTGACTTCCACACAGAATCACTTGAGATTTTATTTAGCTCATAACCACTCAGCTCTCCAAACAGTTATTCACAATGGCCCAACATTTTGAATCAAGCTTCTCGATTCTTAATTTGTTAGCGAACGATGACGGCACCAACACAGCGCTAACACCACCACCATCCGACATATCCGTGTCACCGAACGAATCGATGTCGTCTAACGAAGGGAACTGCGGAAATCGTCCAAACTATACATATAGCGAATTGGTGGCCATGGCGATTCGCAGCAGCCCTGAGGGTAAACTAACTTTGAGTGCTATACAGAACTGGATTAGTGAAAACTTTCCTTACTACCGAAAAGATGAGCAAGGCTGGCAGAATCAGATAAGACAGACACTGAGCACGAACTCACATTTCCTGAAGGTACCACGACCTTTGGGCGACCCCGGACGTGGTAACTATTGGACAGTGAGTTCGGAATTGGCCG